CGACGACCGATGTCATCACGCCGCTGCATCACAATTTAACCTCCCACTACACCCAATCCCAACACCAGATGCTTGACAGACTCGAAGAATTGAATAGGGACCCGTTTGAATTTACCACGACGCACTGAAATTTGCTAAATGACGCAATAATTCTGTCCACGCGGTGTGCGTTTAGGGTAGCTGACCGGAGGGCGCAAAGTCAGGCTTAGTGGCCTCTTCTTACTGTGGCCCTTATACCCCACTCACGCGTCCCAAACTTGATTCCGTCTTCCTTGAAAACTCGGCAAACAGAGCAAGAACGGGGTCGTGGCTGCCACGCGTAGAGGGGATCTTTTATCTCTGCCAGCTGCTAATTCCGAGTCCACCTCCGATAGTCCGGACATTGTCATGCCGCCTGAGGCTGCTGAGTGGAGGGTGTTGGGTGACCACAGTATACAATGCGTGACCGATCTCATGAAATGTCAGCCGAAATTCTGGAATGCGCTTTTGATTAGGACTGATTACCTAAGTAGGGTTGTTAAAGTGATTATCATGCAGCATAACTATAACATTTCGGACTCGCCAGGATGTTGGCTTTGAATGTACGTCTTTTAAACAGCCTGCAGAAAACACACTCGGTAAAAAATGCCTACTTAAGTAGCGGGCATTTTTCCTATCGATTTTCGATGGCCTTATAAATTCAAATATATTCTACAGAAAACATACACAAAAATATGCTTTATCTTGTTCCTTTTGTAGGCATTCACATTGTCTTCATATTGTATGCCCGAAGAAAATTCATATTTAGGCTTTAAAAAGGCTTCCAAATTCCCTTATAATTTTCAGTCTGATCTGCCATCACATCAGCCTTTATCAAGTTCAGTCTACAAGGTGCATGCTTTCCGATTAACGAAAGTCATATATTCCTCTATGTCTTTAAGAAGATACAACATAGATTTCATGAAATTTTGCAATGGATCCGGACTGTGTTGTACATTTCATGGGGAGCATTAGTAAACGGACATGTGCAGTCTTGCATGCATGGGCATCGCATGGTCTTAAAAATATCATAATTATAAACTTTTTAAAACCAAAACATACACTTTCTTTGGGCATACACTATCAAGAAAATGTGATTTCCTACAAAATGAGCAAATGAAAGCGTATTTTTTTGCATGTTGCCCATAAAATATATGTGCACTTATAAGACTGTCGAAAATCAATAGGAAAAATGGATGCTACTTAGGTAGTCATTTTTACCGAGTATGCTTTCTGCAGACGGTCAAAAAGAAGTCCATTCAAAAGCCGACATCCTTGCGATTCAGAGCCTTTATAGGTTTTTGATGCATGAAAATCAGTATAACAACCCTACTTAAGCAATCCTTCCTAATCAAAAACGCATTCCAAAATTTTCGCTAACATTTCATGAAATTGGTCACGCACTGCATGCTGTTCAAGACTTCCCCACTCTAAATCACGTGCAAATCACCAGTGCTGCGCCTACTCCTAAGGACACCTTGTGGATATTGTTGCTCCCATCAACAAAGTTGCCTATTAATGAACACTTTGCAAGACGCACGTGAGTTTACGTAACGGTGATACTAAAACAAGCCAGTAAATTGTTGTTGCAAAGAGACTGGACGACGAAACTGCGTTGTTATATGTTTTGTTTTTGCGCTGTTAGCGCACTTTAACATCAACGGTGAATAGCGGTGGATTTCGGGTATTGGAAAGCAACTTTTATAGACCTGTAGAGAATCTGAAATGAGTATTTGCTGGATAGAAGGCTACCTCATGTTGTAAATTTTCATCAACCCAAAAGTGTCATTTTTCATACTCGAAATCTTCAATGTTCCTTTTTGAAGGAATATGCTCTGCCAAAGATGCGGACAACATACTCTGACAAAGAGGACTGCCGCCAAACGACTTAGTTGTTTCTGGTGCAGTGTAATTTACGGTGTGCAGAGGCGCATGTTACATTTGAATTGGTGTATAACGCCTGCACCTAATAAAATTTAGAATAAGTTCGTAGCTGGGGTCAACGGAACCGCTTTTACTGGCACAGATATAAGTGTCCCACGTGCGTTTAACGTTCTTCCATTATGTTGACAACAATTTGCCGCAACCAAAATATACAAGTGAAAAAATCGACGATTATGATGGATTTTCATTACATTTTAACGCAAGCTATGATAACAGCCAGAAAACCAAAGAACCTTGGGATATGTCTGCTTCCTTAAATGCCCGCTTTGAGCTATAGGTAAATGGAGTTTCCGTACATTTTTGTCCATTTTTCAGTCTCAGGTCAATGGGACGTAAAGAAAACCATAGGTTAATTGGGCATTTATCCCAGAGATACATGTATAGAACAATAACAGAGATACTGCCCACCCACATTAGTCGAATAACCAGGTTTCCTAACCTAAGTAGACATGTTGATGCTATAGGCTCCGTATCTACCATAAAACACGTTTGCAATAACTCTGTTGTTTTGTTATTTTTAGAGCGGCAGTGAAATACCCATCAGTCATGGAGTGGGATATAATCTCTTATAAAAGCCCCAGGTGGCATTGCTTCACTCTGCGCAAACAGTAAACGGAAATTCGCGGTTTCGCATCTTATTTTTGATGGTTTATTATCGAACCTGAAGTCTGTAGTCTTTAGTAATCTTTACGAGGTTTCCATCGCTGCTAAATATACCCACGTAGATTGACTCACAGGTGTGGAAAGGGCAGATGATATTTCCTGGTCTTGATGGAACTTTCTGAATCATCGATATTTTTGCTAGTTGTTCAACCTCCTTCAAATGGAAAGGAAAGTATTTCTGTGTAAAAAGAAATAGGTTTGAATGATATGTCGCCGGATATGTTTGCAAAGAACTTTTATTTCATTCCTGTATAACCTGAAAAGGCTTGCTTTTGACTGCGAAAGCATGTGCCTATTTTCTGAGATAGCAGTAAGACATTATTTACACCCTGCCATGAGAATGTAGGATTGTCACTGAAAGCATTTATCTATTGCAAAAGAACGCTAAGTACATTTAATTGCAATGCATATTGACAGAGATTTCGAAGTACAAAATAAAAGTAGCGCATGTTTATCAGTTTCTTTGGGGAACTCTATCAACGCAGAAATAGTCCGACATAGTACAGAAAATTTTTGTAGTCCGCAATAAATCTTAAGAAACGGGCAGAAGCGGCAGCAGCAAATGCTCTATTCAAGAACTACGCATTGATTCAATGTGTTAGAAACCAGGGACATGAAACGAACATTTCGATGATTTGACTAGACCACCGACCCTTCAAAGTCAAATTTCAGGATTTGCGTGAAGCACTTGACAGAGTATATTATCAGAATAAGCCTGACATAACGAACATATTCCCCATATCTCGTAAATATAGCCTTGAGTAATTTGAGCTCGCAGAATTTAGCTTGAATCGTCTTAAATCTTTTATTTAAGCAAAGCGCAGTAGCGCATGTTTTCTCCACTGATAGATAATTAATCGTATATATATTTTGTCAGAACAGAGGCCAGGGTTTGTTGTAGTATGTTTAAATCGGAATTCTCCACGATGTTTTTATGTATAAGTGTTACTCATGCCAGTGAAAATGTAATATACTTAGAAGGTTTATGTATCAGTGTATTTCAGGGAAAGTATTTGTGTACCTTCGAAATCCCTATTGGTCACATGCAGAGAAAATGGAAAGGAATTAACAGGAAAGAAATACAAGAGGAATAACAACAACTGCAGAGATGAACACAGAGTTTCGTGTGTTAGCAGCATTTAGAGGCATATGAACTCGGTTGGTTGATTCAATGCGGCAGACAGTTGGAGCACATTTAAGATACAGGAAAAGAAGTAAATTTTTTTAGTCTGCAGGCATCGTGTTGAATGCGAGCAGCGGTGTGCGACGTGGATCAGAATTAATCAATTGCGTAAACATATGTTACTTGCATATTGGTAGTAGCATCGACATAACACTAAATTATCAACCTGGTCATTCAAGGTGGCTGTAGTCCGGCGTTAATGTGGTACGCGATTCAATGTTGATCTAGCCTCCGTTCCAAAGTGTATCCGGATCCCAACATGACAGCATCCTCAGGCAAAACATTTCAAGCTGCGACCATTCTGTTGGAGAAGAACTTTCGTGTGTTTAGCCGGGCACCAGTCACACGTAGTTTGAGTGGATGGTCTCTCAGGTTGGTCGTAATCGCCAACTCGAAGAAATCTCCAGATGTGAGGCAGCACCCGATGCGCACGATACGGAAAGCTTGTATCAGGTCCCCACGTAGCTATCTGTAACTCAAAGGAAATCGGTCAATAATAGCTAAGCTTGTTTCATAGGGTAGTGACCACGATTAGCTAATCTCGACCTCTTTCCTTTTAGTTACAGAAATCTACGCGGGGACCTGATACAAGCCTTCCGCGTCGCGTACAATCAGGGCACGTACGTTTTCTGGAAAAATAACAATCGGAAATATAGTCGACATTTTTCAAATGCCCTATTCTGCTGCATCACGGTCCTTAAAAGAGGGGCATAGCTGCCAACACATGGCCCCGCCTTGTGGGTGTGGCCAAGCGTGGCTGGACGCGGCCATGGCCGCGCCATATTTTGAGAAATTTCAAGAGTCGTTTCAGCCGCCTAGACGAAATTTTCTGTGTTTTAATGTTGCGCATTTGCCTAAATATACGTTAATTCACCCAGAAAGTGCATTGAGTCTGCACTTCTTGGAGAATTATAATTTGCCTGGATAAGCCGATTAGGATGCTTTTGTTTAAGTGGGCCACTTGGACGCCATTTTTCTACTGCTCGACCGGACGCTCGCGACAAGGTGGTACGTTTTCCCGCGTCGATTTCATGTCTATCGCGTCTTTATGGTCTTACTTACGCAATTACTAATCTCCTTTATGCTATGCAAGTAGGTTTACTAACTTAATTACAATTTTAATCTCACAGTGAGCGTTTCAAGTGCAGCTCAATTTTTTTAACTTGTTTTATACCCATCAATGAAAGCAATCATGAAGCGCAAGTATTATGGCTTCCATCGGAGCACAATTTACAAGCGAATTGCGCGTGAGAAGAAGGCATATTATGCGCGGATGGCTGATCCCTCCGTTCCCTCTACGTCATCGGTCGTAGACCAACCACCGGAAATAGAAATGCCCGAACTAGTCCCAGAAGTTTGCACTGGTAGTCATCTTACTATGTTACTCAATATCAAATTTAGAGCCAGTAGACATAAGCGAGGACGCGGTCGCAGACAAATGCTTTCTGGCGGATTTACGGGAATTCTGCTTGGAGGCCCAAATGCCACTATCCACAACAAAGAAGTTGTTTCGGATGCTGCGGCCCTACCACCCAGAAGTGCCTAAAGACCCAAGGACGCTATTGCAAACGCCTCGGACCTGCATTAGCAAGCCCCTGAACAAAGGCAACTATGTTCATTTAGGTCTTGAACGTGGTCTGCTGGATAAACTGCACAGTCTGCCCGAAACAAGCGTTCCTGAAATGCGCATCCAACTGCATATCGACGGAATGAAGATTTTCAAGGGTTCTAATCAAGGCCTGTGGCCGATTCTTGCCCGTGTTCGCCATCCAGTTGTTGGTCAGCCCTTCATTGTTGGAGTGTTCTCCGGTCCCGGCAAACCCGATCCGTTGGATGACTTCCTGGGCGACTGTGTTGGCGAGCTGAAAGACCTCCTGGCCAGTGGTCTGCACATTCCACATACGCAAAATAGCGTAAAGGTGATCTTAGACAATGTTATCTGCGACACCCCTGCCCGATGTTTTGTGCGGCAAGTTAAAGCTCACAATGGCTATTACGGGTGTGACAGGTATGTTGTTTCGTACCTTTAACTATAACCACCGCAGGTGTTCCCATATGGGCAAACGTATTGCAAACCGCATGACGTTTCCAGTATGCAGTGGGCGTCTGCGTGACGACAGGTCATTCAGGTTGCGAAGACAGAAACCGCACCACCAGGGCAGGTCTCCGTTCGAGGATTTGCCCGTCGATATGGTGACCTCCTTCCCACTCGATTATATGCACCTGGTTTGCCTGGGCGTCATGCGGAAGTTACTGCATATTTGGCGTCTGGGCTCCAGCAGGCACTCTGACTCATTGAATGAGTCTATTAAGATGTGCAGCCAAAATTTGCCGGCCGAGTTTTCGCGTAAATGCAGAACACTCGATTGTCTAGAGTTTTGGAAGACTGCCGAATACAGGCAATTCCTACTGTACATAGGCCCCGTCGTTTTGTCCTCCGCCTTAAGCGAAGCCCGGTACCAACACTTTTTACAGTTTTCCCTCGCAGCGCACATATTTTGCCATCCCATATTGCATGTATCTTGCGGAGAATACGGCCGACTTCTGTTAAATCGCTTTGTTGTTAATTTCCCCACCTTGTATAGTCCCTCCGATATTATTTACAATGTCCATTGTCTGCTTCACCTGTATGACGATGTGTCTCGGTTTGGAGTGTTGGATAATTTCTCGGCATTTCCTTTCGAGTCCTTTTTGCAAAGTGTCCGCAGCAGTATAAAAGGGCATACTAACGTAGCCGCGCAGGTTTTCAAGCGCTTTTCTGAAAGACGCTTGCCTGAGTTACCAACATGCCCAATGCTGTTAGACGACGACGAGGGAGTAGCACGGGCATTTAAACTGCCTCGCGGATCCACCGCAATTTTCCATAGAGACTTTGTTTCGTCAAATAAACAGCCCGATAATGTGGTACTTATCGGAAATAGACCGTGCCTGCTGACATCAGTGTCGGATACCGGCATAACTTACGGCCCGTTCCTTGACTGTGAGGACCTTTTTACAACATCCCTTCCCTCATCCTCCTTGTATATGTTTAAAGCCTCCCGTTTGTCAGACATTCCTTCAACTGCTGCCCTCTCAGACATCATTTGTAAATATGTCCCCTTTGATCTTGACGGTCGTTTTTTTCTAATTCCGTTACTGCACACTGTGCGTGCGCGGTGACTCTTGTTTACATTGTTCATTTGATATAAATTTCCCTGTAGATGTATTCGGTTGTCGAATTCATAAATGACAAGACTGTAGCCGTGGTGGCTGCAGCCTGGTTTTACGACGTGGGCAGCGTTATGTGGCCTAAGAACCACAAAGAGCAGGCCGTCCTGCTGAATAATAACAGGCGGCCACCAGACGGCACCAAGGTGTACGCTGTTCGGCTACTAAAAAGTAACCTGACACTGCTGAAGGCCAGACAGCTGGTCCGGAAAGCAGAGCTGTCGGACAATCTTTCTAGCTCTGAGCCGGGAGAATTAGGCAGAGGGATGAGGAGAAAGTACATGTCCCATACTGTTAATATTTCTTTGCAGGTATGTCCGCAGGCAGACGTCGGACTCAGACGATGATGACGAACCACTTTATCGTCCGAGACAGCTACTTGGTTGGCCAACACCACCACGAATATTACAGTAAGCATAATTATCGTTAATTATTCGTACACCAAGAATGGACGAACAGATGCCCCACCTCTTCTCTCAGTCGAGTCACCCTACGCCATCGACTTCATATCGGTAACTGCCTGTTATTAATTATTACCGAAGGCTGTCTAGGGAAATGCCGGCACCTGCGCCAGTGCCTGCTACCGAACCTGCATGTAGCCATCAGGCGCAGAGTGACACGAATGACGTAAACTTTCGGTTAGCGTCCCTCGAGTAAGACTGTTGACAATCGTATTGACAATCTATTAGAAACAAAGTCGATTTCCTGGCCGAGCAAATGGTTGCCCTCAACAACAGTGTGCGGCAACTGCAGGCAACAATGACTGATGCTGTCAGTGCATTAGAGAGGGGTGCCACTGCTGCCGACGTCGGGCCCTCTCGTCTGCATTTGCCACTGTGCACAGCCGAAGCCTACGAAGACTTCGTTCGTCGGCTAACTACTGAGGCGGAATTGGCAGACAAGGCGGTATGTGTATATTTGTTTGACTGTTCTCAGATCAGACAGCTGGCCGTGGTGGGAGGGCGGAGTGAAAAAGACTTTGTAAGAAATCGTCTGGCTGCTCTCATTGGTCCGCCGCTTTGTTACACCTTCTGCTGGAGGGGCGGATCCAAGGAGAAGCGGTCGTTCCTTGCCTGTCCGTTATTTAGCATCGGCAACGGTAGGTCTACTTTTTGCTCATTGGCACATACAGATGCCATCGGCCAAAACCCCCGTTTTAGCAACTGCAACAGGGAGGTACTTCGACTTACGGCCATTAATTGGTTCCATGGGTCGAAGGACCGTCATGGAGGACGATCGAGACGCAGGCGCAATATTCACACAGTACGACATTTTGCTTTGAATTACTGCCTAAATGTGTTCAGTTTCAAGGAGTCCCCACTGATGACCTCGCATGCCCACAACTCTCCCCTCCGAAGCACACGTAAGTTAACTGAAAAAGACTGCTATTAACACACTTTATGTTATTTCCCTCTTTTCAATAATTATAATGATAGTATGTATTTCGGAAGTATGTATACATACTAGTATGTATGAATTAACAGTGTACTTTGCAATAGTAATTATTATATTTTAATAACTATTGCAAAGTACATTGTTAATTAACTGGATGATGTCTGCTTGAGGTCTGACGTTCGCAGAAGTAGTAAATCCGCCTACCTATCTCTTGAGTTCGAAAAGTGAGACCTAGCTCATTTTACCCGGCCCTCGTTGACCGGTTTGGGGTCTGCGTCGGACCCGCATTTTACTGTGATCAGTGTCGCGCCCGCCCTGGTTGACTGCGTAGATAATAAGCGTCCCTAATTACTTCGCGCCGTCGCTGCCTCTTGTCAAATTGGTTCGTAAAACCGAATACGGGCAAATAAATGAATTTGGCATAGGACATCCGGGCTTCTCTGCATCAGCCCTGAGGTAAATTAGGGTCATGTACATAGAACTATGTGCGTGAATTTCCAGTGCCTGGGGACGGGCAGACGAATTCACTACTCAGAACGCCGGACCCGCATCTAACCTGCACCGAAGGAAGCCTCCTTATGATACGCCACCTAGGAATTGCATTTCTCCTACTATTGACATTATTGATTAGTTCAATGACAAAAGCATTTCCCATGTTTTACCACAGTTCTTTTTTTACAGGAACCGCCCATAACCAGTGGAGGCCCTTTAATATCCATTGGAGAACTGCATCCCCGCCTGTATTTTTCGTACCGATTTCTCATTTGTAAATACTCAATAAACCGTCGTTTCTAACCATTGGCTGTCCACTTTCCTATGTCGTGGGATAGAGTGAACGCTAACTAGGTTGTCGGTTGTGCACTTACGCGGGGTGTTTACCGCTGATTTGCTTTAGCCGAAGCTGACATGTAATCGTGCTGCGATAGCCGACTGTTTAGAATGAGTGCACTCGCGAGTAAAAAACGGAAGTCATTAAAGGGCGGGGAACGAATGGAGAATGGGGAGATCCTATCGGTTGTCCGGTTGTGCACTTACGCGGGGTGTTGACCATTAATGGTCAATCAATTGATTTGCTTTAGCCGAGGCTACGAGGATCCAGTGACACATGTGATCTTACAGCGACAGCCGCTAGTCTAGAATGAGTGCACTCGCGAGTAAAAACGGAGGCCATAAAAGCGTGGGGGACGAATGGAGAATGGGGGGCGCCGCCACGCATTTTTTTTTTCGGATGGTGTGGCCAGACCTGGCTGTGGTGTCGAAGGCCACACCTTAGCCACGCCAAATAGCCACGTTTGGCCGAGTCGTAGCCACGTCTCGCCGCGGCGGCAAGGCGTGGCCAGCCGCGGCTGGTGCTGGCAGCACTTGGCCCCCTCTTGAAACGGGGCCAAGAAGGGGCTATGAGGGGGCCAGCCCCCTCGAAGTTTTCTCATCGGTAATGCAGCATTAACAGGCATTAATCCGTGAATAAGCGTGCATTTTTCGGTTTAAATATACTTTTTTAATAGCAAAAAGTGCTTTTGGACCTCGGTAGTTGTGCTTTTTACATATCTGGGCAATCCTGATATAAAGCTGTTAATTGTTTAAGTGTGTCACTTTGCGGCACTTATCTCTCACGTGAGCTGCGTTCCTCTCGTCGTGAGTTCTAATACTGTCTACTGTGGTATACGTGCATACGTTACTGTGGTATGTTACGAACTGTGCTTTTGCTGTCTTTTATGATATTTTGTTACTTTTGACCTGTAAATTTGTATTATCATTGAATAATTGCCAGTTGATTTATTCGATATCAATGAGATATCCGTTCTAGCAGAGTCATCTGAAAAGCTGCTGGGGCGGAGCAAGAGATAAGCAGGCATTCGTCGGCAGCCCCCTATATGGCCTTGTTATTGGTAGGATATTTATTTTTAAGATTACTTGTTCAGCTGCAATTCGTGAACACGCCGCCTTCTCCAATTGTACCGTCGA